GGCTCGAGCCCACGACCTTGAGATTAAGAGTCTCATACTCTACCGACTGAACTAGCTGAGCTGAAAAGGAGCCTTTTCAAGAGCTAGACAGCGTTTACAGTAATACATTCCCTACCCGTGACAATCTTCTGCTAAATCCTGATTTCATCTTGTAACGCTGGACAGAATGTGGCCCAGGATATATGCCCAGTGCACATGTTAGCAGTTGCAAGGCAGCAAAATGCCTAATTCGTCCCTGGGTGGGCTTGAACCACCAACTTTTCAGTTAACAGCCAAATGCGCGAATCAATTGCGCCACAGAGACTTAGAGAAAAGTCACCTACAGTGGTAGAAAGGCGGAACTTTGTCTCAAAAGGTATCCTATATGAACCCTAATGTAAGTTTGCTGAGAGAGAGAGAAAAGTAAGAGGAACTCCCAACGTGGGGCTCGAACCCACAACCCTGAGATTAAGAGTCTCATGCTCTACCGACTGAGCTAGCCGGGCTGATGCGAAGTACTTTTAAGAGCTAGACACCGTTTTCAGTAATACCTTCCCTACCAGTGACAATCTTCTAAATCCTGATTTCATCTTGTAACGCTGGACAGAATGTGGCCCAGGTCATATGCCCAGTGCACGTGTTAGCAGTTGCAAGGCAGCAAAATGCCTAATTCGCCCCTGGGTGTGCTTGAACCACCAACCTTTCAGTTAACAGCCGAACGCACTAACCGATTGCGCCACGGAGACTTAGTAAGAGGTCACCTATAGTCGTAGAAAGGCAGAACTTTGTTTAAAAAGGTCTGCTATATGAACCCTAATGAAAGTTTGCTGAGAGAGAGGCAACAGAAACACCTAACGTGGGGCTCGAATCCACAACCCTGAGATTAAGAGTCTCATGCTCTACCGACTAAACTAGCCGAGCTGATGAGGAGCCCTTTCAAGAGCTAGACACCCTTTACAGTAATACCTTCCCTACCCGTGACAATCTTCTAAATCCTGATTTCATCTTCTAACGCTGGACAGAATGTGGCTCAGGATATATGCCCAGTGCACGTGTTAGCAGTTGCAAGGCAGCAAAATGCCTAATTCGTCCCTGGGTGGGCTTGAACCACCAACCTTTCAGTTAACAGCCAAATGCACTAATCAATTGCGCCACAGAGACTTAGGGAAAGGTCACCTACAGTGGTAGAAAGGCGGAACTTTGTCTCAAAAGGTCTGCTATATAAACCTTAATGTAAGTTTGCTGAGAGAGAGAAAAGTAACAGAAACGCCCAACGTGGGGCTCGAACCCAGGACTCTGAGATTAAGAGTCTCATGCTCTACTGTTGGAATATCTTGCCAATTCCATGCGTGTTCAATAAGAAAAGGTCTGGAGAGGGTTTTCTTCAATGTCAAAAATATTAGTAATTTATTAGATACAAATGAATAATTCGATGACAGAGCTCTGGGTTACATTACCCCAATGCAATACAAGAATTACATTCAAGATGTTCGCAACTAACATACATTTCCTGACTCCAGCATATATACACCACCTATCTTAACAGGTGGAGTTTTGGTGTAACGTCACTTGTCAGTCATTGTTCAGTCCTCCATTGGCCGCCCCTTCGACATACTTCCTCTTTTTCTACGAATTCTCTGCCCAACAACAAATTATACATATTTCTGTGTTCTGTGTTCAGTTTTAACACCTCTCTTCAGACAGGAAGTTTTTTCAGAGCTGAATTTAATTTTGGACCCGCATCTATCTACTTCTGCAAAAATGCTAATTAGTATGCACAGCACTCACCCACAACATTAGAAGTTCAGTTAATATATGACCCTTACATGACCAATACAAATAATTGTTTGATTAAAAGAAAAAGAGACAAAAATAATAAAAAACTGCTTGCTATTTTACAACACAACCTAACCCAACTCTTAACCCAACCTCACAGTAACAAACCTCCATGTGGGTTTCATTGATTCAATGTCTTGTACATGGCACAGAATACAACCTATTGCAGTTTATTAAAATCACACCTACAGCAGCCCTAGGCCCAACCTCACAGTAACCCGCTATGTTTTATTAAATTTTACACCTACCCCAACCCTAAACACAACCTCAGAGTAAGCAGTTTTAATTTTTTTTTTATTTTTATGAATGTCTACTACAGCTACATCAATCGCAAACCCAGCCTACGTGTGGCATAACTGCCGACCCCTTAGAGGTCATCCAGCCAACTTGCAGTGTAATCTCCTCCACTTGTAGGTCTCTGAGCTTCAGCAACACCTAAGTGTTCTGACACAGAGACACAAAAGACTTTTAACCTCCTCTTGGAGAGGAGAGAGTCTCCGACCCTGGATCTCAGGTCTTCTATGGAGGGACTGTCAGGAATCCTGTAAGAGCATCCCATCCACACAACCTCTTGCCATAAAAAAACAAAGCAGAATGTGTGGTGAAGGAACTCCGGGTTGACAGAGCCTTGTCCTTGCTTCAAGCAATGTGCTAACAAGGTGCTGAACAGAGTGGCACAAAGGATAGCGCTTATGACTTTGGATCAGAAGATTCTCGGTTATGGAAACCAAGAAACTGTGTATGGGAGAGTGCGTAAGTGTATGAGTGGCACTTGTTCAAGCGGAGCAGGGACGTGCCAGCGATCAGAAAGAACTGGAGTTTGTGCCAAGACTGGGTTTCAAAAGTGGCAATTTCCATATGGTCTAGCAGTCAGGATTCCTGATTTTCACCCAGGTGACGCGGGTTCGACTTCCGGTATGGGAAGGCTTAAGTACTTTCGCTCCTGTCCTTTTTGGCCAGCGGTCGGACTGCAGCTACCTTATAGGGTGTGGTTGTGGAACTGCTACGTAAGACTTCGAAAGCTCAGTTGGTAGAGTGGAGGACTGTAGGACCAATTCTTAGGTCGCAAGTTCGACTCCAGCTCAAAGGACGTCTTTTGTGCTCAGAGCCACTTTCTTGCCTTTGCGAAGATATCATCGGCACCACTGCTCGAAGTTCACCATGGACGTGAAAAGGAAGTTCCCTGACAAGGAATCGAACTCGGGCCGCGGCGGTGAGAGCGCCGAATCCTAATTACTAGACCACCAGGCTAGACCATCAAGCCTAGCTGTGGGCTTCCACCCAGGTGTGCTGCAGCTGCTCTGACAAAAATAACTAACATTTGCAACCTCCTCCTGGAGAAGAGAAAGTCTCAGAGCCTGGATCACAGTTCTTCTTGGGAGGGACTGTCACATGCTCTGTGTTAGAGCATCCTATCGACACCACAACTTGCCATAACAAGAAAGCACAGCAAGCGTTGAAGGAACTGCATGTTGACCGAGCCGTGTCCCCTTTCCAAGCAGCATGCTAATGAGCACTGCTGATGCAGACTGGGCCAGTGGCGCATACTGCCACCTGTAATTCTTGGTTATTCTTGGTTACACCGGCCAATCATGTTTCGAGTTGGAACCAAGATTTTTTTAAATTCTTGGTTACGCTGGCCAATCTTGTCCTGAGCTGGAACCAAGAATCACCCTATTCTTGGTTACGGCAGCCAATCATGTTCCGAGTTACAATGAACGCTATGGCCAATCAGAGCCCTTATAACATTCATGATTTGTACTGTATTAACAGATTTCGTTGTGGATTAATTCGGACAACAATTACAAAGTAAGTATTTTTATAACAAGTTGGTTTAAATTAATAACCATTACAGTAACATTAATTACAACAACACAATTATTATATGATTGTTATAGATGTTATATGACGTTGTTTGTTAAGATTAATGTTTGCCGACCAAGCACACTGTACAGTTTTACTACAAACATTTTAATGCAGTTATTATACATTACTTCACTTTATATTGTCATTTACTACCATAGTTACAATAATGCCCGTGCATTATTCTCACACATTAATGAATCACTTCATTAATAATAAATATAAGGCTCATTTCATCAGTCACTGATTATAAACAAATACTATAATAACGCTCACATATCACTACATCACTAATCATAAACTAATCTAATAATGCTCACGCATAATACATCACTAATCATAAAGCATAAAACAATATGGATCACGCATGATTGCATCACTAATAATAAACCAATAATATAAGGGTCACAATTTAATCCATCACTAATAATAATAACATTATTATTAGTGATGGATTGATGTGTGACCCTTATATTGTTGGTTTATTATTAGTGATGCATGATCCATATTAATTAATAACTGCATTAAAAAGTTTGTAGTAAAACTGTACAGTTTGCTTGGTCCACTAACATTAATCTTACCAAATAACGTTATAAAACATCTATAACAATCATATAATAATTATGTTGTAGTAATTAACGTTACTGTAATGGTTATTCATTTAAACCACCTTGTTAAAAAAATACTTACTTTGCAATTGGTGTCCGAATTAATCCGCGACAAAATCTTTTATTACAGTACAAATCATGGATGGTATAAGGGCTCTGATTGGCCATAGCGTTCATTGTAACTTGGAACACGATTGGCTGCCTTAACCAAGAATAGGGTGAATCTTGGTTCCAGCTCACAAAATGATTGGCCGGTGTGACCAAGAATAACCACGACTTACAGGTGGCAGTATGAGCTAACCGGCCACTTACTGCCAAGCTTAATAAAAGTCTTCCAGTTGGTGCTGCCCGGGCTAAAGAAAAAAAAATGTAAAAAAAAACAATAAAACGGCCTTGCCAGAAAATGTCAATACAAGGCGGTGGCAATGTGCATTGATTTCTGAGTAACTCGTCATTCGGCATGCAGGGCTCCTCACACGTTTACTGGAGCAAGACCAGGTAGGGCCTTCAGTCACCTGCCCCTTGTGCACAAAAAAGATCAACTGCACTGTTTTGCCGAAACCCAGGACCAAACCAAAGACCTTTAGATCTTCAGTCTAACACTCTCCCAACTGAGCTATTTCGGCATCACTTTCACAAGTATCCTGCAGCATTCATGTCTGTGAGACTAAGCAGAATCCTGAAATGCCTCTGAGGCCATAAAGGGTAAAAGTTTAGCCAGTACGGGAATCAAACCCGCGACCTTGGCAATATTAGCACCACGCTCTAAGCAGCTGAGCTAACCGGCCACTTTCCGCCATGTTTGCTAAAAAGCTCAGACTAACTGTCATTTTCCGGCCTTCAAGAGATAAGAATGCTATTCCAGCTTTTTTTGTGCGGTGCTGGTAAAAAAGCAAGGTCCCACTGAAATTTGAACCCAGATCGCTGAATTCAGAGTCCAGAGTGCTAACCATTACACCATGGAACCTCAAGTCTCCTGGTTGGTGCAGCCCGGGCTAAAGAGAAAAAAATTAACAAAAAAAAATTATAAATAAAAAAAACGGCCTTGCCAGAAAGTAGCAGAATGTCAATACAAGGCAGTGCCAATGTGCATTGATTCCTGAGTAACTCGTCATTCGGCATGCAGGGCTCCTCACACGTTTACTGGAGCAGGACCAGGTAGGGCCTTCAAAAGAAAAGCGCACTATTCCAGGCAATTTGACGACTAAACGGCAGGCAGGGCAAAGAGGCCACCACAGAGCAAATGTGATCTTTTTTTTCTAATTTGACCACGTCGAAAATCTCCAATTTTTGATTGCTCTGAGGGGAATTAGCTCAAATGGTAAAGCACTCGCTTTGCATGCTAGAGGTAGCGGGAACAATGCCTGCATTCTCCACCTCTGTTTTCATGCCTTTTTACATTGGCTTTTATTGCAAAGCTGGTGGCACCTTAAGGGTTTAAAGCGAAACTACTTACGTCAGCTTTGCCGATTTCCGTGTAGTACATATCATTGCAACCCTTCAGAAGCCCTATCAAGTCACAGTTTTCCTTTATTCAGCAGCGTGTCCGCAGTGGGACATCAAAGCGCTAAATACATAGCATTATAGAGTGCTGTCGATCAGGGCATTGGAATCATCGTCAGAAGCAACGTGACCATCTGGGAGGAAGATAGCGTTTTGGTCAAGTGCAAGCAGGTGGACTTAAGGGTGAAGCAGCTAGGCTTTTTGGGTGACTTTCAGTCACCTGACCCTTGTGCACAAAAAAGAACAACGTCACTGTTTTGCCAAAACCAGGGATTGAACCAGGGACCTTTAGATCTTTAGTCTAACGCTCTTCCAACTGAGCTATTTCGGCAAACTTTTTACAAGTATCCTGCTGCATTCATGTCTGTGAGACTAAGCAGAATCCTGAAAAGCCTTTGAGGCCTTAAAGGGTAAAAGTTTGGCCAGTACAGGGATCGAACCCGCGACCTTGGCGTTATTAGCACCATGCTCTAAAGGCTGATTTATACTTCTGCGTCAAACGCCGGCGTATGCTACGGCGCTGACGCATAGCCCTTCGCCGTGGCCATCGCCGTCGCTGACGTGCACCTCTCAAAAAATGTAACTACACGTCGCAACGACGCGTAGCGCAAGCTCTGTGATTAGTCGGCTTGGTAGCGCTGACGAGTCTGGGCGGGACCGAGAGCCGCGCGAATGGCACGACGCCGTGCGAGCGATTGTTTACAAGTGTGGAGTATCGTGAAGGAGTTCCGGATGGAAAGTTTTGTTTTGTGTTTACCTCATAGTTAAAGTTGTTGCACGTCCGCCGGTTCCTGCCTCAAAATGAGCGAGTTTGAGCCACTTGTACATCCCGGAAGTGTTCAGGAAATGCAAAAAAGTAGCGAAGAAACTTGACACAGAGGAACATTTACACCTCACTGCCAACTAGCGTTTCGGAAGTGTTAATGCAGACCGACAGAGACAGCGCGCAGAAGTATAAATGCACAGCCACGCGCGTTGCCTGCGCCGTGGGTTACGCCGGTCACCTGACGCAGAAGTATAAATCAGGCTTAACCAGCTGAGCTAACCGGCCACTTTCCGCCTTGTTTGCTAAAAAGCTCAGAGTAACTGTCATTTTCCGGCCTTCAAGAGATAAGAATGCTATTCCAGCTTTATTTGTGCGGTGCTGGTAAAAAAAAAAAAACAAGATCCCACTGAGATTTGAACTCAGATCGCTGGATTCAGAGTCCAGAGTGCTAACCATTACACCATGGAACCTCAAGTCTTCTGGTTGGTGCTGCCCGGGCTAAAGAGAAAAAAATGTAAAAAAAAAAAAAAAAAAAAAAAAACGGCCTTGCCAGAAAGTAGCAGAATGTCAATACAAGGCAGTGCCAATGTGCATTAATTTCTGAGTAACTCATCATTCGGCATGCAGGGCTCCTCACACGTTTACTGGAGCAGGACCAGGTAGGGCCTTTAAAAGAAAAGCGCACTATTCCAGGCAATTTGACAACTAGACGGCAGGCAGGGCAAAGAGGCCACCACAGACAAAATTTGATCTTTTTTTTTCTAATTTGACCACGTCGAAAATCGCCAATTTTTTGATTGCTCTGAGGGGAATTAGCTCAAATGGTAAAGCGCTTGCTTTGCATGCGAGAGGTAGCGGGAACAATGCCTGCATTCTCCACCTCTATTTTCATGCCTTTTTAAAGCGAAAAGGTTTAAAGTGAAAATGTCCTGATTCAATCGTCACCAGAAGCGACGTGACCATCTGGAAGTAAGATAGCTTTTTGGTCAAGTGGAAGCAGTTGGATTTAAGGGTGCAGCAGCTAGGCTTTTTGGGTGACTTTCGATCACCTAACTCTTGTGCCCAAAACAGTAAAACAACACTACTTTACCAAACCCTGGATCTAACCAGGGACCTTTAGATCTTCAGTCTAACACTCTCCCAATTGAGCTACTTCAGCTGCCGCTTCATAGCTTTTCTGCAGCATAGACGTGTGTAAGACCGAGCAGAACCCTTAAATGCATCTGAGGCCTAAGAGAGTAAGAGCTTGGCCAGTTCAGGCATCGAATCCACAACCTTGCCGGTATTAGCACCATAGTTTAACCAGCTGAGCTAACCAGCCACTTCCTGCCTAAAACACTACAAAGTAACTGTCATTCCCTGGCCTTCAAGAGATTAACATTCTATTCCAGCTTTTTTTGTGCGGTGCTGGCAAAATAACAGGTCCCACTGAAATTTGAACTCAGTTCAAACTTCAGAGTCCAGAGTGGTCACCATTACACCATGGAACCTCAAGCTTGTTGTGTGGTGCTGTCAGAGCTGTAGGGAATGAATAAAAAAAAAAAACGGTCTTGCAGGAAAGTAGCAGAATGTCAATCCAAGGTGGTGCCAATGTGCATTGATTTCTGAGTAACTGAGTCATTCGGCATGCAGGGCTCCTAACACGTTTACTGGAGCAGGAATAGGTAGGGCCTTTAAAAGAAAAGCGCACTATTCCAGGCAATTTGACGACTAAACGGCGGGCAGAGCAAAGAGGCCACCACAGAGCAGATGTGATCTTTTTTTTTTTTTTTTTTGACCACGCCAAAAACTACCAATTTGAATTTTTCCGAGGGGAATTAGCTCAAATGGTAGAGCACTCGCTTAGCATAGGAAGGGGTCCAATCATCTCGCTCACTCGCAAGCGAACAAGCCTCAAAAAAACGGAAAAATGCGACAAATTTCGCTTGCAGTAGTGTTCGCGGCTTTGTGACTGTGCATAATGTGGTATTTTGGTTGCATATTGCATGTCACTCTAAATGTCATTTTTTGCGTGCTGGATTCGAACACACGATCTGTGTAACACAATATCCAATCAGTGTCGGTTTCAGCGGAGCCAATCAGCTGCGCTCCTATTGAAATTTTACTGACGTAACACAGGCAATTATATTGATATTACTATTATTATGTGGATATTGTTCTTAAAAAGCATATTACGTTAATTAAAAATGAATGAAAATGTTTCAATTAAACATATGTATGCATGTTTATGTATATATAAGTATATTATATATATTTATGTATTAATATATAAATATATACTATACTATATATGTATATATTAATATATGTAATAACTTTAAATGAATGCACACAAAAACAAGTAATATGCAAAATGGTTTATTAAAATGAATACAAATATTAAAATCGCAAAACAATTTTAAAAATGTAAAAAGCTAAATAAAAACATATCTTAATATATAAACTATATAATATACAATAAATAAAAACAATACAATATATATTTATTTATTATGCACATATAATATATTAAAACAATACTATTTATAAATATATTTATTTATTATACACATTATATAAAAACAATACTCTATATATATATATATATTTATTTTTATATACACAATATATTAAACAATAATATAAATAGATAATAAAATGCAAGAGTGGGGACACATAATATATAAAATATAGTATTTAAGCAATGTATAAAATGTTATTTTTTAAAGAAATATAAATATATTGGTAACACTTTAGAATAACTATCCGTTATAACTAGTTAATAGACCATTCATAAACTGTTTGTTAACAAGTTATACATGACTTGTTAAACAAAAGTTAATAGTTTGTTAATTATCTATAATTGTGCCTTATAGATGGCTAATAGATAACTCACAAGCTGTTAGTTAACAAGTTGTAAATGACTTCTTAACTGTATTTGAATGATTTATAAATATACCTAATCAATTAGTAATAGATCATGAACAAGCTGTTAGTAAATAACTTAATAAAGGCTTGTTAAGTATCAGTTAATAGTTTATATATGTTATTGGGACGTTATTCTAAAGTTGCAGCTATTTTTCATTAATTAACTTTTAGTAAATGAGGAATAGTTGCAACTTTAGAATAACGTCCCCATAACATGCTTAAGCTAATAACTATCACTTAACTATTATATTTACTCACACTTTACAGATCAGTTGTTCACCATCTAATAACACCAGTGAAACTTTTTTATTAGACCACTGGTGTAATTTAAAATTTGTATTTATTTTGTTTCCATGTTTAGCACTTCATGGGTTTGTATTCTTGCATACTGCTGTACTGCCATGTGATGGTTCAGTATGTGTGTTTCTATACATTAAACACAACGTTTAACATTTCATCTGTGGAGTTTCTTTGGTAAAACACAGCACACAGAAAAGCCTATAAGTGGAACAAAGTTTCGAAACAAACATTTTATATTTTAAATATTACATCAAATTTCTGTAGCTTGAACTTACTCCATCCATTTGCAGTTCTACAAAGATTCGTTGGTAT